CTGCACCCGCAGTTCTCGGCCTCAGCGGAGGGGGGGCCCACAGGGCACGGGGGAATTCGCACGGGGGGTGGGCATCCCGAGTCTCTACCCCGAACGCCTGTGTCCACCGCGGCCACCTTTCTCTCGGGACCCTCCCCGCGCCGTGGACCCCGCGGCCGGGTTCCGAGAAGCCAGAAGCAGCCAAACAAAAGGAGCAAAGTCCGGGCCGCGGGATGCGGAGGGCGCGGTGGGGGAGGGGAGAGGGTGGAGCGGACAAAGGGGCTTTTAAGGGAAGCCAGAGGTCTGGTTCCAGGGCGCCTTTCGGGCTGGCGGGGTCCCCCGTCCCAGCCACGCCACCGCCGCTCGCTGGGGCGAACACCTTTCCCAGTGGAAGGGAGGAGAGTGTGGAGGGAAAATGGCCAAGGAGCCGTCGCCCTCCCCCCCTTCGCCTGGAGGGTCCCGGCCCCTTCCCCTCCCGCTGTTCGCGCCGCGGGCCGCGCGCTGACCGCTGATTGTTAATTCATTCGGTGGAATCCAGGCGCCTGGGACTGGACTGTGCTGGGTGCGGGTGGGGGGTGGAGACGCAGGACGGGCCCTGGCTTTGAAGAACTCGCACTCATGGACCAGAGGAAACGCAGACGGAACCTAAAACAGTGTTGGGGCGCGGGGGGCGACAGGGCGCGGGGGCGCGGAGGCGACGGGGCGCCGAAGGCAGCTTTTCCTTAGGAAGCGACAACCCTGGAGAGAAGCAGATGTTCTTCGCTTACAGAGCAGATTCTGAGCACTCTAATGTGATGCGGGAGACTCCGCGTCCTCACCAGCCGGTGGTCTGGAGTTGGGTCATCCGGCCGCTGCCCTCCTGGGCTGGCTGATAGTGGGACACCGAGCCCCAGATCCCCAGCCAGCCCCTGGAATGCGCACCTTCCCTTGGCACTTGGAGTCGGACGGCCTGGCACTCAGTGAGATCCAGTGGGCCAGGGGATCTCCAGCAGTCGGTTTGCCAGTTCTGCTCCAAACCCCAGATTCTGCTAGGTTGGGAAATGCTGCCTGCGATTTTGAGGGAGCAAGGGGCCTTTGAACTCAGAGATAGGGGTTACCGGAAGGTGGGGCTCTTAACGGGTCCTCATTAAAGCGTCTGGAGAGAGTAGCCAGCTCGTACCTGGGGGGGAAACCTACATCTCTGTTTTCCACCACCTTTAGCAGAAATTCAGCACTGCCCTGGGCGATGAGGGCGAGAAGCCATGGGTCAGCAGAACTCACAGATAGTTCCATATCACACTGCAGTTGTAGCTGCCTTGAAACGTCCACACTCGACACTTCTATGAAATTATGAGCTGGGAGATCCTGTTTGCTGTTGATGGAGGAACACATATGTTACTATTTTTTGTTTGTTTGTTTTTAGAATCGCGTTTCAATATAATTGATTCTCTTAGTGGTTCTGTTAATTTTATTTTATGCATCAAAAAATACGCTGTGAGCTGATTCTAGAAACTTCCATCATCCCAGACCTGGAGCTGGGGCATGGGCAAGGTGGAGAGAGGGTGTCAGTTTTGACATTGGAAGGATGTGACAAACCTGTAGGATGGCTGTTGTTTTTCCTGGAGCTGGGAGAGGGAAGGGCTGCAGGCCCCTCACCACAGGAGGGACTGTCCCCTGTTGGGGCCCCTCGGCCTCAGCCTGGGGAGGGAAGGGGATGGTCAGCCTGGAGGACTGGGCTAGCATTGTTTGGAAAGAGGGTGTGTGCAGGAATGTGGAGGTGAGCTGGGTATGTGTGTAGGGGGCGGGGGGCTCTCTGTGTGACACGCTGTGCTCCACAGGAGGTGCTTGGTGGAGCGGTCGGTGGTCCCCACTCTGGGGGGTGGAGGTGGGAAGCAATGCAGAGGTGTGTTGAGGTTCTGGGGTCCCAGGGAGGAGGGCCGTGGTGGGAGGGTTGGAGAGCGGGGAGAAAGAGCAGTGGTGGGGTGCAGTCTGGGGGTCAGATCTCTGCAGGCCAAGATCTGCAGCATTTGCTTTTCAGCTCCCTGGGGACAGGCAACAGGTGGCCTAAGCCTTGTCCCCCAGTAAAACAGGCTGAATTCCAACAGTGTTTGCTTGAGGGTCAACGGGGTGGGAGAACCAAAGGCCTAATTTTTGTAGGAAACAAATGCCATTTTGGTCTCTGGTCCCTCGAGTTGGGGGAGTGGGCTCAGGGCCTGGGGCCAGACAGGACTGGGGTTCAGGTCAGTGCTCCGAAGGATGGGTGGGAATCATATACAGGGAAGCGACGGCCTCGGTGACCCCGGGGGGCGGTGTCTGGATAAAAAGCAGGAGCAGTCGGGCCTCCCCACGGGGAGCTGGGGTCACTGCCTTCCTGAGGTTTCTGAGCTGGCTGGGGAGAGACGGGCTCAGGTCTTGGTGTCAGTTTTGGGGTGTGGGAGGACTGAGGACCTACCCTTGGCGGTCTATAAGTTTCTTGCTGGCCCCCCGCGGACAGTGGCCCTTACCCCCGCTCCTGGGGGGTTTGCGTGCCTTGATTTCCAGAAAGGGAAACTGAGGCACAGGAGGGCAGTGGCCATCAGAGGCAGGAGCCAGGGCGGGGGCAGGGCAGAGAGCATGGGGGCCCCCCACTGCTTGGCCGCTGCACTAGTACCCCCCGTGGGCCACGAAGACAGGCCCCCGCTGCCTCCTCGTGGGGTTCCTCGGCGGGCACCCCTCTCGCCACCGCTCCCGGAAGTGCAGAGGCCCAGAAGCAGCCGGGGCAGGTTTGTTCAGGGAGGGACCAGCTCACCTGCTCCTCCCTCTGCCTCAAGTCACAACAAGTAACCTGGTTCCTGGGCCAGCAGCCTGGGAGGGACCGGGCCAGGCTCTGGCGGGCCCCGCGCGTGGACGACAGGATCCGGATCGGAGGGAGAGCACCGGGAGGCTGCCCTGTGGCCCGGGAGACCCTAAGGTGGCATGTGACGCCCCTCGGCCCCCTGACCTGGGAACAGGGGCTGCTTCCGGGACTCCTGGACTGAAGAGCAGAAGCAGGTGAGGGTAGGACAGGGCGGGGCAGGTCCTGGGACCGGGGCGCAGGCTGGCCTGGGTGTGTCTCCGGCTGTGGCCGACTCCACCACCCCCTCCTCAGGTGGGGGCCCAGGGTGAGGGGCGCTGGTGGCCCAGACGAGCAGCCTGTCAGTGTACTTCTGAGGGGGAGGGGGCCAGAGGGCCAGGACCTGGCTGGGGGCACATTTGTCACAGGAGGACCCCTGTGGTCAGCCTGAGGGAGGTGCCCTGGGCTTCCTTCACCACCCCCCCCACCACCACATGGCCCTTCTTCTCTCCTCTGCCTTTTCTGGGGACATTGTTCAGTCGGGCAGACTGCTTCCCAGGGCCCAGGACCACGGCTGAGGACCGGAAGGCCAGCGGGGGGGGGTCCTCCAATTGGCTTTACTGAAAAGCAGTTCCTGAAGCACCTCAGTGGGAGACCCGTGCCCTCCTGGGTGCAGGTGGGCTTGGGGCGGGGTCCCCACTGTGTGGAGGACAGCTGGGCAGGGCACAAGGGGGGGCTGCTGTGCGGCTGTGTCTGACAGTGTCCGGATCCAGAGTGGGGGCTAGAAAAGGCCTTGGCCTCGTGTCCACTGTCCCTGTGAGGAGGGGAGACCCAGCCAGGCGAGGTGACAAAGTCTGATCTGGGCCCCCGGCTGCAGGGGGCTGAGGGCGGGGGCTCTCTGTGTGGCAGCACGTTAGTCCCTCTGGGCCCCTCTGGGCCCCCGAGCCTCGACCTGGGGTCAGGAGCCCCAGGGAGGAGGCTGCCGAGGGGTGTCTGCCCAGCCCCCCCAGTCCCTGGAGCTGCCCGTCAGGCTAATAATTAATTAGCAAGTGTGACTAATTAACAGCTCCTACCCACATCCTCCCTCTTGCCCCCAGCTAGCTGGGGCCGCCTGGCCTGGGAGCTCTGGCGGGGCCTGGCCCTGGCCTTGCGGAGGGTCGGAGGCTGCCAGGTGGGTGGTAAGAAAGCGGGTGACTGCCCACTGCCCTGTCCTCTGCCCTGTTTTCATTCATCCCTAGGAGGATGAGGGGCTGGAGGGATCAACGGGACAGAGGTGACGCCCCCTTCCCCGATGTTCCCCGATCATACCGCCAGTGTTTTGGGCAGCTTTGCAAAGGCCCCACGTAAATTCTCTTCCAACCCTGCCGCCCCCTTGGGCGTCCTCGGGGAGCCAAAACCCCCAAGGGCAGGCCGGCGCCCGGCGCCGTCCACAGGTCGAGCGAACCTTGGCTGAGCTGCCCTTTCTGCCTCGGCGGGCTGGGGTGCCGGCCGCTCCCCGCCTCTGCCCTGCTTTGTATGCTCCTTTCCCAAGGCCCGCTTTTCTCCCTGGAGGCTGACGCGCAGTGGCGCCCACCGCCCCCAGCTCCCCCGCCGTCCCCACCCGGGGCCGTGCCCTCGGGAGGCAGGATGAGCTCCAGACAGAAACTCGGGAGCACTGGCCTGTCGCTCGGGGCCTGACTCAGTGAGGAGGTGGCTGGGCTCGCCTCCCAGACCGCCCGGCCCGCCCTCCCCGCCCCTGCTCCGCTCCAGCCGGGCCTGCCAGGGGTGTGGGCTCGGGGAGGGGAGGGGGCGGGCAGCAGGTGCTGCTTTGGCGTGGACTGAACCTGAGCCACTGCAGTGTCCGCAAGCCCAGGGAGCAGAGCGGTAGCCATGCCCTTTCCTGTCCCCAGCAGTGTCTGCTCTGCTCACCCAGCAACCCTGGCGCCCCCCGGGGCCCCCTTGGCTGTGGGGCGTAGGGGATCCAGGCTGACTGACTCCCCCCGAGGGGTCTCCTAGTCCTGGTTAGTGGCCCGGGTAGTGGTTTTGGGCTTTGGGACAGCTCTTGGCCCCTGCCTTGATGACAACTGGCCTGCAGAGCCAGTATGGGCCCCAGACCAGGGCCTCAGCTGAGTGCCCAGTGCCTTGCCACTTCTGGAAATGCCCTCACGCACTGGGGTGGCAGGGGGGCCTCGTGCCTCCCGGGTCCTCCGGCCGAGAACAGTCAGCCCCATGGGGACGGCTGTATCCCGGGAGGACATCGTCCACTTCCTGCTTCCCTTTGCCCCACCCAGGCCGAGGTGCAGGTGCATGAGGCTTGTTCCCGCCCTTTTACTCTCCCTTACTGACCTTGTCCCCAGGGCCAGTGGTTCCTGTGCCAGCGCTGCCGTGGCCCCCCTTGGGGGAGGAGGCGGCAGGGGGCTCAGGGCCCCAGTGAGCCTGTTGGGAACAGGTGTGCCCGTGAGGCCCACAGAGCCAACCTTCCCTCTGCGTACGGCCAGTGCCGAGAACCCCACCTGCCCCAGAGACACGGCCCCACCCCCACGCCCTCCAGCGTCTGACTCAGCGCTGTTTGGACCCAGGGGGTTTACACGCAGCTTTTTTTTTTTTATTATCTCCTAAAAGCTGGGGAAACTCCAGGCCACCTGTGAGACCTGGCCCAGGCTGGGGACAGTGTCACCTCCCCCTGCTCTGTGCCCCCTCCTCCCAGAAACCCGCCATGGAGAGCAAGGACGACGTCAGCAGCACCGACAGCGGCATCATCCTGCAGTCTGGTGAGTGGCTTGGGGAGTCCCCCAGCCCCAGGCGCCCCAGGACTGGAGGGTCGGGGGCCCTCTGCGGGCGCGGATGCCGGAAGAGCTGGAGAGCCCCCCTCTGGGGGGGTCAGGCCGGGAGCTCTGGCATCTTCAATTTCAGCTTGATAATCACCGCGTTGAAACACCCCGCCTGGCTCCTGTGAATGTCCTGTCTCTGGCTGGCCCGAGCTTGTGGGCTTGGGCTGGCCCCGTCCAGACAGAGGGCAGGAGGAGAGGCGTGCGTGTGCGTGCGTATGTGTGCGTGCGTGTGCGTGCGCGTGCGTGCGTGTGCGTGGACGTGCTCTTGTATGTGTGCATGTGTGCATGCGTGCGTGTGCGTGCGTGGACAGAGCCGCGGAGAGGGATCGGGACAGCGAGGGGGAGACACGGAGACCTCACTCTTTTCCTTCCTGTGCCCGTCATGTGGTCTCCGATCTTCAAATCCGTCGGAGAGGGAGATGCCCGATACGTCCTTTCTGAATTCCTGAAAACACGACTGCAGTTGGCTACAATCGTAAGCATCTGCGGAGCTGTGTATTGGGAGGCTGGGGCTGTGGGAAGGGAGAACTTTGGAAATCGTGTGGGGTACGGTGCCCGGTGCCCCCGCTGAGGGCACAGGTGGCCCAGGGAGCGAGGGACGGAAGTCTGCAGGCAGAGGTGCAGGTGCATGAGGCTGGCCAGGGCTGGAAGGGGAGGGGCAGGGGCGCAGAGGGCGGCTTAAAGGTGCCCGCGAGACCACCCCGGGTGACGGGGTGCAGTGGAGGGTGGGCAGGGCCGGGCCGGGGGACAGGCTCGCCTTGGCCGGCCACGGGCCGAGTGAGTGGAGAGGGGCCTGGCTTAACTTCCTCCCACCGCAGGAGCTGACGGGCGTCTTGCCAGCCGAGTATCCCCTCAAACCAGGGGAGAAGGCCCCCAAGGTCCGCCGCAGGGTTGGAGCCGCCTACAGGCTGGATGAGCAGGCCTTGTCCAAGGAGGTGAGGAACCTCGGTCCCCAAAGGCGGGCCCTGAGCCGGGACCTTGCATCTGCTGGGCACAGCTTCTGAGGCACAGTGCCTCCCTGGGCTCATGGCAGCATGCACGCCACCCATCACCCCGAGTAAGGGCGCGTGGCTCCGAGTGGACGAGGGCCACCCGCTAAGGCGTAGCCCAGGTGGCCATGTGGAAGCAGAGAGCCAGGAACTCAAGGGCGGACATTGGTGGCCCCAGTGGGCGGACATCAGTTAGGAGCCCAGCAGCTGGCCGAGAGAGGTGGCGGCCTGCTTTGACAGGTTACTCTGGCCCCTGGGGCTGTCCTTGTCCTCGGCTGGGGACGGAGGAGTGGGGGTGGCACAGGTCCTCCCCGGAGCCCTGCCCTGTGTCGTGAGTGGCAGCAGTTTCCCCCGCCCAACCCTGTGGGGTCAGGAGGGAAAGTGTCTCACCTGGTCCCCACCCTGCCCGGCTCAGCGGGCAGGCTGGCGGGAGGCCCTTGTGCCAGCTTTCCAGGCCGACAGCTTTGCTCGTGGGCACCTCCCATCACTCCACCCTCTGCCCCACGAGGGCGGCTTAGGGCAGGGTCTGGAGCGCCCGGCCGGGGCCGTTCCCTGTGTCCCCAGGGTCCCCGAGACCCCTGCCTCCCACGCCCACTCCTCATCTTCCTCCCCCGCAGGACCCCCAGGACCCCCTGAGCAGCCTGGAGCGCGAGCTGGCGCTGCAGCTGCAGATCGCCGAGGCGGCGAGGCGCCTGAGCCGGGAGGAGCGCCTGGGCCGCCAGGCGCGCCGGCAGCGGAAGCACGTGCTGCTGCAGGAGGAGAGGAAGCTGCGCGAGCTGGAGCGCTGCCTGGGCGAGTGGAGGGGCCGCCGCGGGCCCCTCCTGGCCGCCGC